TATATATATATATATATGTTACAACAGTTCTGGATGAGGTGAAAACAAACTTTCAAGACAAGACAGAACAGTAAACACTATATATATATATATATATATATATATATATATATTATATATATATATATATATATATATATATATATATATATATATATATATATATGTCGTACCTAGTAGCCAGAACGCACTTCGCAGCCTACTATGCAAGGCCCGATTTGCCTAATATGCCAAGTTTTCATGAATTAATGTTTTTTTTCGACTACCTAACCTACCTAACCTAACCTAACTTTTTCGGCTACCTCTCCTAACCTAACCTATAAAGATAGGTTAGGTTAGGTTAGGTAGGGTTGGTTAGGTTCGGTGATATATCTACGTTAATTTTAACTCCAATAAAATAAATTGACCTCATACATAATGAAATGGGTAGCTTTATCATTTCATAAGACAAAATTAGAGAAAATATATTAATTCAGTAAAAACTTGGCTTCTTAGGCAAATCGGGCCTTGCATAGTAGGCTTAGAAGTGCATTCTGGCTACTAGGTTTGACATATATAAATATATATATATATATATATATATATATATATATATATATATATATATATATATATATATATATATATATATATATATGTCGTACCTAGTAGCCAGAACGCACTTCTCAGCCTACTATGCAAGGCCTGATTTGCCTAATAAGCCAAGTTTTCATGAATTAATATATTTTCTCTAATTTTTTTCTTATGAAATGATAAAGCTACCCATTTCATTATGTATGAGGTCAATTTTTTTTTATTGGAGTTAAAAATAACGTAGATATATGACCGAACCTAACCAACCCTACCTAACCTAACCTAACCTATCTTTATTGGTTAGGTTAGGTTAGGTAGCCGAAAAAGTTAGGTTAGGTTAGGTTAGGTAGGTTAGGTAGTCGAAAAACAATTAATTCATGAAAACTTGGCTTATTAGGCAAATCAGGCCTTGAATAGTAGGCATAGAAGTGCGTTCTGGCTATTAGGTACGACATATGTATATATATATATATATATATATATATATAATATATATATATATATATGTCGTACCTAGTAGCCAGAACGCACTTCTCAGCCTACTATGCAAGGCCTGATTTGCCTAATAAGCCAAGTTTTCATGAATTAATATATTTTCTCTAATTTTTTTCTTATGAAATGATAAAGCAACCCTTTTCTCTATGTATGAGGTCAAGTTTTTTTTATTGGAGTTAAAATTAACGTAGATATATGACCGAACCTAACCAACCCTACCTAACCTAACCTAACCTATATTTATATGTAAGGTTAGGTTAGGCAGCCAAAAAAGCTAGGTTAGGTTAGGTTAGGTAGGTTAGGTAGACGAAAAAACATTAATTCATGAAAACTTGGCTTATTAGGCAAATCGGGCCTTGAATAGTAGGCTGAGAAGTGCGTTCTGGCTATTAGGTACGACATATATATATATATATATATATATATATATATATATATATATATATATATATATATATATATATATATATATATATATATATAAATTCATCGCTCATCAAATAATTAATTACTATAACAATTAACAGTAATTTATCATATTAGTTTATCATAGTGAATATACTATCTTGTGGCATAATTGCATATATATCATACTTGTATAATTCAACTACCTTGTTGTGTATGTTAGTATAACAGATTACTGGCTATTGAAATAATTTTGAGCTAGGCTAGACTGTACATTGTTGAGATGTTTGAGCTTGAACAGAACCAGTGTTCAGTCTTAGAACTGTGTTTTATAATCTTATCCTGCTGTAATATATAAGCTGATGTGTTGAAATGCCTGTAGGTGGATTGTGGGTCTCCAATCAACAAAATCTATTCACCCTTTAGGATTCAACCTGCCCCCCCCCCCCCCTTCCCCTCTCGCCACTACAGATCACTGTTCTTCCTAGGACTAGTGGAGCAGGATTTACAACTTGGACTGGTTGTAAACCTGGTTTACAGCCTGGTTACTGGTTTACAACCTAAGGACTGATCATGTTGTTTTTAGATGTCTAATATAGAGTAATATTTAAGTATATGCAGTACTAAATTTTCAAGTCCCAAGTAATTCTTCTCTTTTATCAGGGTGTTTCTCTCACAACTCTAGGATCTTGTACCTTTAATTTGGCCAATTTCAAGCACCCGGTATCTAGTACTTGTTTACATTATCTAGGATTAGAACCCTGGTATCTGGCTCCGTTCTCGACTCGCAAGGGTATCCCATGTTCGACTCCCAAGGCGGGACAGAAATGGCTGGGTACGTTTCTTGACACCTAATGAACCTGTTCACCTAGCAGTAAATAGGTCCCAGCGAGTTAGTCAACTGTTGTGGGGTTACGTCCTCATGAAGACGTAAGATCGATTTTCAGTAGATCGACCTTGGGGGATTTACAAGCATTTAAATGAACCTAAAGTATATGTATATATATATATATACATACATACAGGGTTCGTGTCCCCGACAAAGCCCCAAGACACCTCAGTCTACCCCAGGACGCACCAGTCCCTGAAGGCGGGCCGGGAAAGACATTTCTCATTACCACTACATGTGATTGCCAGGGCTCTGATTGGTTATTACAACCCTGGCACCTGCTGTAATGAACCAATGGCAAGCTTCCTTCACTCTCGCCTATCTGTGTCTATTTCTGTGTTCATTTTTTTTCTGACTCGCTCTCTCTATCTCTCTCACTCTCTCTCTCTCTCTCTCTCTCTCTCTCTCTCTCTCTCTCTCTCTCTCTAGCGCAGTCTGTCTGTTTTTCTCTCAGTTTTCCCTCCCCCTTCTCTTTATCTTCCCCTCTCTTTATCTTTCTTCCCCCTGTCTCTCTCTTCTCTTGTCTCTCTGTCCTCCTGTTTCTGTATCTTTCCCTGTCTTTTGTCTGTCTCTCTTTGCCGCCCGATCTTTGTCTGTCTCTCTGTCTCTGTTCAGTAACAGACGCCCATTAAGTGAATACACATCGTTCCAAAGTCACTTAAACAACAGGTCCGACTTGGGTGTTCTCTGAGTTAAGAGGCGTCACAGTCTTGGCATTCACTGTCCTAATGACCCGTATTGGAGAGTGTCATTACGGTGCCTCCCTCATGTCACCGTAACCGCCCTCACCAGGCATTCACCTACTCATCTTCCCCTCACCAGGATCACCGTAGCCTCTTCCCCTCACCAGGAACCATCTCATTTTCCTCCTCCTAACAAGACTACATAAAGTAAGCCTACATACACAAAGAGGCTCCATGGGGCCTACTAACAAAACCCACGCAAGGCAAACAAGACCTACAAACAACAGCCAAAATACCTACAAACGACATAAGGTATACGACGCCAACTAAACAACACGACCTACAAGTCCAAGGCCAAAAAAAAAAAGTCCACAAACACCAAACAACAACAGTTAATTAGTACAATAGTTGGAGGAACCTCTTAAGGTACGTCAATACCTGGAGTGAGAGAGAGAGAGAGAGAGAGAGAGAGAGAGAGAGAGAGAGAGAGAGAGAGAGGAGAGAGAAGAGAGAGAGAGAGAGAGAGAGGAGAGAGAGGAGAGAGAGAGAGAGATTCACACACACACACACAGGCCTCACGAGATGTGGGGCCTCGCGGCTGAGTGGACAGCGCTCTGGGGTAGTAGTCCTAATTAAGGGCCCGGGTTCGATCCCCGGCTGAGGCAGAAACAAATGGGCAGAGTTTCTTTCACCCTGATGCCCCCTGTTCACCTAGCAGTAAGTAGGTACCTGGGAGTTAGACAGCTGCTACGGGCTGCTTCCCGGGGATATGTGTGTATGTGTGTGTGTGTACTCACCTATTTGTGCTTGCGGGGGTTGAGCTTTGGCTCTTTGGTCAAGCCTCTCAACTGTCAATCAACTGGTGTACAGATTCCTGAGCCTACTGGGCTCTATCATATCTACATTTAAAACTGTGTATGGAGTCAGCCTCCACCACATCACTGCCTAATGCATTCCATCCGTTAACTACTCTGACACTGAAAAAGTTCCTTCTAACGTCTCTGTGGCTCATGTGGGTACTCAGTTTCCACCTGTGTCCCCTTGTTCGCGTCCCACCAGTGTTGAATAGTTTATCCTTGTTTACCCGGTTCGATTCCTCTGAGGATTTTGTAGGTTGTGATCATGTCTCCCCTCCCCTTACTCTTCTGTCTTCCAGTGTCGTGAGGTGCATTTCCCGCAGCCTTTCCTCGTAACTCATGCCTCTTAGCTCTGGGACTAGTCTAGTGGCATACCTTTGGACTTTTTCCAGCTTCGTCTTGTGCTTGACAAGGTACGGGCTCCATGCTGGGGCCGCATACTCCAGGATTGGTCTTACATATGTGGTGTACAAGATTCTGAATGATTCCTTACACAGGTTCCTGAACGCTGTTCTGATGTTAGCCAGCCTCGCATATGCCGCAGACGTTATTCTTTTTATGTGGGCTTCAGGAGACAGGTTTGGTGTGATATCAACTCCTAGATCTTTCTCTCTGTTCGTTTCATTAAGTACTTCATCTCCTATTCTGTATCCTGTATCTGGCCTCCTATTTCCACTGCCTATTTTCATTACTTTGCATTTACTCGGGTTGAACTTCAACAGCCATTTGTTGGACCATTCACTCAGTCTGTCTAGGTCATCTTGTAGCCTCCTACTATCGTCCTCAGTTTCAATCCTCATAATTTTTGCGTGTGAGTGAGTGTGTGTGTGTGTGTGTGTGTGTGTGTGTGTGTGTGTGTGTGTGTGTGTGTGTGTGTGTGTGTGTGTGTGTGTGTGTGTGTGTGTGTGTACATGCGTGCGTGTGTTAGATAGAAATATATGTAGTAGATATAATAGAGTACAAATATATTGGTTAGAAAGGCGGGGTCCAAGAGCAAACAGCTCGATTCTGCAGACACAAATAGTAAACACACACACACGAAGAGCCTTATTTAATGAGTATTCAGCTGGGAAGAGAAGCATTAAGAACGGCATATTTATGCAAGAGAAGGAAGGAAGAGGAGAGCAGCAGGAGGTGAACAGAGCTTATCCATGGCCCGCCACGACCCCTCATGGGCCCGCCACGACCCTCATGGCCCGCCACGACCCTCATCGTGCCCGCCACGACCCCTCATGTGGCCCGCCACGACCCCTCATGGCCCGCCACGACCCCCATGGCCCCTGTGGCACGACCCCCATGGCCCGCCACGACCCCTCATGGCCCGCCACGACCCCTCATGGCCCGCCACGACCCCTCATGGCCCGCCACGACCCCTCATGGCCCGCCACGACCCCTCATGGCCCCCCACGACCCCTCATTGCCCGCCACGACCCCTCATGGCCCGCCACGACTCTCATGGCCCGCCATGACCCCCATGGCCCGCCACGACCCCCATGGCCCGCCAGGACCCCCATGGCCCGCCACGACCCCCATGGCCCGCCACGACCCCCATGGCCCGCCATGACCCCCATGGCCCGCCACGACCCCCATGGCCCGCCACGACCCCCATGGCCCGCCACGACCCCTCATGGCCCGCCACGCCCTCATGCCCGCTACGACCCCTCATGGCCCGCCACGATCCCTCATGGCCCGCTACGACCCCTCATGGCCCGCCACGACCCCTCATGGCCCGCCACGACCCTCATGGCCCGCCACGACCCTCATGGCCCGCCACGACCCTCATGGCCCGCCACGACCCTCATGGCCCGCCACGACCCCAGGGAAGGGGTCGCATGCTTCCAGTCATGCCTTCTCTGACAACGAGGAAGGACGCGAGACTACACACTTCCGGAGCGCTGAGAAGGGGAGGTGATGCGGGACCTGGATCACGCGCCCCATCATCTCCAACATGAACTCCACCGCCCCCAACACGGACTCCTCAGCCCCCAACACGGACTCCTCAGCCCCCAACACGGACTCCACCGCCCCGAACACGGACTCCACCGCCCCGAACACGGACTCCACCGCCCCGAACACGGACTCCACCGCCCCGAACACGGACTTCTACAACCCCAATACGAACTCCAGGGCCCCGAACACGGACTCTAGGGCTCTAAACAAGAGCCAGAGCGGCATATCACTCCACCCCAACTACATCTCCAAGACCTACAACAGCAGCTCTAAGCCCGCCAACATCACCCCCAAAGTTCGCCGACAAAATTCCAGACACTTCCACCTTGCGAGTTTAGAGTCCAGAGTTTGCATCTTCAACGGATAAATTCTCTCCTTGCAGTCCAATGTTTCGTAAATTGCTGCAATGTAAGTCAGGGTGAATGAGGGAGGAAGAGACAGCGGCAGCGAAGGATGAGGAAAGAAGGGTAGGGAGAATAGGGTAAAGCAGGAACGGAGGAGAGGAAGTGAAGGAAGCGGCAGAAGGGAGTAGGCTGAGTGACACAAGGAGGAGCATAATGAGATACAAGAGAGAGAGAGAGAGAGAGAGAGAGAGAGAGAGAGAGAGAGAGAGAGAGAGAGAGAGAGAGAGAGAGAGAGAGAGAGAGAGAGAGAGAGAGAGAGAGAGAGAGAGAGAGAGAGAGAGAGAGAGAGAGAGAGAGAGAGAGAGAGAGAGAGAGAGAGAGAGAGAGAGAGAGAGAGAGAGAGAGAGAGAGAGAGAGAGAGAGAGAGAGAGAGAGAGAGAGAGAGAGAGAGAGACAGAGAGAGAGAGAGAGAGAGAGAGAGAGAGAGAGAGAGGAGAGAGAGAGAGAGAGAGAGAGAGAGAGAGAGAGAGAGAGAGAGAGAGAGAGAGAGAGAGAGAGGAGAGAGAGAGAGAGAGAGAGAGAGAGACAATGGTACCTTATTGGACACGTCAGTTACACACCCACAGACGTCGGAGAACTCCGCACAAACCAAACCGCCTCGTTTGAGATTAATTCTCGGACACCACAACCCGCGATGCTTACCACAGTCTGCGGGGTTATTCGCTGCCTTACTGTCAAAGCTGGCACCAAGAAGGCTCCGGTTTCCAGTAGAATTCCAGGAATTATTAAACCTGGAATTCGCGATGGACTCACTGACCGACCACTGCTGCGCAAGCAAGTCTTTTCTTCGCTAGAGACTGCAAGGAGGCACAGGACGAGGAGGAGGAAGAAATGAAGGAAGAGGAGGAGGAGGAGGAGACGAAGGAGGAGGATATAGAGAAGGGTTCCGGAAAGCCTCATAAAAGCTACCCTCTTTCCTCTTGAGAAACATCGTGGGAGTTTTCTCTTCCTCTACGAGCGGCCTCAATCTTCAGGCTTCCAAGGTCCTGGGGGTCCTGGGGGTCCTGGGGGTCCTGGGGGTCCTGGGGGTCCTGGTTCAGGCACCACATAGGTCCTGGGGGTCCTGGTTCAGGCACCACATAGGTCCTGGGGGTCCTGGGGGTCCTGGTTCAGGCACCACATAGGTCCTGGGGGTCCTGGGGGTCCTGGTTCAGGCACCACATAGGTCCTGGGGGTCCTGGTTCAGGCACCACATAGGTCCTGGGGGTCCTGGTTCAGGCACCACATAGGTCCTGGGGGTCCTGGTTCAGGCACCACATAGGTCCTGGGGGTCCTGGTTCAGGCACCACCAGGCATAGGTCCTGGGGGTCCTGGTTCAGGCACCACATAGGTCCTGGGGGTCCTGGTTCAGGCACCACATAGGTCCTGGGGGTCCTGGTTCAGGCACCACATAGGTCCTGGGGGTCCTGGTTCAGGCACCACATAGGTCCTGGGGGTCCTGGTTCAGGCACCACATAGGTCCTGGGGGTCCTGGTTCAGGCACCACATAGGTCCTGGGGGTCCTGGTTCAGGCACCACATAGGTCCTGGGGGTCCTGGTTCAGGCACCACATAGGTCCTGGGGGTCCTGGTTCAGGCACCACATAGGTCCTGGGGGTCCTGGTTCAGGCACCACATAGGTCCTGGGGGTCCTGGTTCAGGCACCGCATAGGTCCTGGGGGTCCTGGTTCAGGCACCACATAGGTCCTGGGGGTCCTGGTTCAGGCACCACATAGGTCCTGGGGGTCCTGGTTCAGGCACCACATAGGTCCTGGGGGTCCTGGGCACCACATAGGTCCTGGGGGTCAGGCACCACATAGGTCCTGGGGGTCCTGGTTCAGGCACCACATAGGTCCTGGGGGTCCTGGTTCAGGCACCACATAGGTCCTGGGGGTCCTGGTTCAGGCACCACATAGGTCCTGGGGGTCCTGGTTCAGGCACCACATAGGTCCTGGGGGTCCTGGTTCAGGCACCACATAGGTCCTGGGGGTCCTGGTTCAGGCACCACATAGGTCCTGGGGGTCCTGGTTCAGGCACCACATAGGTCCTGGGGGTCCTGGTTCAGGCACCACATAGGTCCTGGGGGTCCTGGTTGGGGGTCCTGGTTCAGGCACCACATAGGTCCTGGGGGTCCTGGTTCAGGCACCACATAGGTCCTGGGGGTCCTGGTTCAGGCACCACATAGGTCCTGGGGGTCCTGGGGGTCCTGGTTCAGGCACCACATAGGTCCTGGGGGTCCTGGTTCAGGCACCACATAGGTCCTGGGGGTCCTGGTTCAGGCACCACATAGGTCCTGGGGGTCCTGGTTCAGGCACCACATAGGTCCTGGGGATCCTGGGGGTCCTGGTTCAGGCACCACATAGGTCCTGGGGGTCCTGGTTCAGGCACCACATAGGTCCTGGGGGTCCTGGTTCAGGCACCACATAGGTCCTGGGGGTCCTGGTTCAGGCACCACATGGGTCCTGAGGGTCCTGGTTCAGGCACCACATAGGTCCTGGGGGTCCTGGTTCAGCCACCACATAGGTCCTGGGGGACCTGGTTCAGGCACCACATAGGTCCTGGGGGTCCTGGCTCAGGCACCACATAGGTCCTGGGGGTCCTGGTTCAGGCACCACATAGGTCATGGGGGTCCTGGTTCAGGCACCACATAGGTCCTGGGGGTCCTGGTTCAGGCACCACATAGGTCCTGGGGGTCCTGAGGGTCCTGGTTCAGGCACCACATAGGTCCTGGGGGTCCTGGTTCAGGCACCACATAGGTCCTGGGGGTCCTGGTTCAGGCACCACATAGGTCCTGGGGGTCCTGGTTCAGGCACCACATAGGTCCTGGGGGTCCTGGTTCAGGCACCACATAGGTCCTGGGGTCCTGGTTCAGGCACCACATAGGTCCTGGGGGTCCTGGTTCAGGCACCACATAGGTCCTGGGGGTCCTGGTTCAGGCACCACATAGGTCCTGGGGGTCCTGGTTCAGGCGCCACATAGGTCCTGGGGGTCCTCCAGGCCAAGTAGTGGGTTCTGGGCCATGTAGTGGGACCTCCAGGACCCAGTATGCACTCACTCCCCACCCCCCTTCCCACACACTCCCCCACCTCCCCATACACTCCCCCACCTACATACTCGACCCTCACTAACTCACAAAGAAATTAAAATATTTGTTTAGTTCTCTCAAACCTAATAATACGAATCATAAAAAGTTTCTTTGATGTTTGACTAAACTCTGCCTATGACGCCTGTCCCTATAACTTTACATTACTCCTATGTTCTTTGTACACACATTATTTTGAATAAATAATAATAATAATATTATAATTAGACTGGACATAAACAAAGTAGCTGGGGGGGAGGGGGAGGGAGGAGACAGAGAACAACAAACAACCAAACAACCAAACACGGGTTTGTTGCATGCAGTTTGACTATATTGTTGTTGTTGTTGTTTTAGATTCAGCTCCTCGGAACAAAGAGTTGCAAGCAGCACGGGCTATGGCGAGCCCGTAGTGGACTTACCTGGCACAGGAAATGTGCGCAGTTTGAGTAGTTATCGCGGCCATAGTGTGAGAGGAAGACTTATATGGAAGAGGTGGGAGAGGAGAGGAAGGGAGGAGTGGGAGGGGAGAGGAAGGGAGGGGTGGGGGTGGGGAGTGGAAGAGGTGGGAGTGGAGGAGTGGGAGGGGAGAGGAAGGGAGGGATGGGGGTGGGGAGTGGAAGAGGTGGGAGTGGAAGAGGTGGGAGGGGAGAGGAAGGGAGGGGTGGGACAGGAAGGCACGATAAGGGACAGGTAAAATGAATGAAACAGTCACCTCTGTAGCGACCTCTTGACACACTAGAGGCGGTCACTCAAGAGGCCAATAGATCAATACAGCTGTCATTACATGCACCACTATGGCCTCTTGTAAGGTGGGCTGGGTGGGTCGTCAAGGGTGAGGGTGGGTGGCCTGGGTGGGTTTTTTCAACATTTTCAACAACATATATGTTAAGGTATGGGATGAGTAGATGAGTAGGTAGATTAATGAGTAGATAAAGTGATGGGCATCTGTAAAGGTGGTAAATGTATACGGCTACCTCAGGGGGTAGATTGGAAGGTAGATGAGGGGTCGGGTAGATGAAGGGAAGGGACAAGGGCGACCACCACGCTCAAGAGGCCCTCCACAAGAGACATAATGAAGAGGGGAAAGCATTTAGCTTACCTAAGAAGGGAAGAAATGGGGAAGAGGAGAAATGGGGAAGAGGAGAAATGGGGAAGAGAATAAATGGGGAAGAGAAGAAATGAAGAAGAAGGAATAGGGAAGTAATAGGGAATAGAGAAGAAGTAATATGGGAAGAAGAAATGAGGAAGAAGGAATATGGAAGAAAGAATAGGGAAGAAGAGAGAAGAAAGAAGGAATAGGGAAGACAAAGAAGAAATGGGGGAAAAGATGAAATGGAAAAGAAGGAATGGGAAGGGCCGGAAACAGTGTGAAAAGGTCAATCTCGTCAAGGTTCAAGTCACAGAGCCACATAATAGAGCCACATAATAGAGCCACATAATAGA